GTGTAGACGTGCCTGAACGCCACGAGCTCCGCGCGCGAAGGCGCGAAAATCCGTTTTGTTCATTAGCTACTATAGTTCGGACTCAATGTCACGGTTCTGAATCTAATCTCGTAAAGTGCAATGCAAGACCGATAAATCACCAAAGAGTCCAAATTCGGCAAATCGTTTTGGAAAACTGATTTTTATAAAGAAGTGCCAAACATGGATTGCTTTGCCAGATACAAAGTCGCCACCTAAATATTTTATTTTGGGAGAATTTAGGAAACCCTGACTCGTGCCTAAGGCCACGTGTCCGTCATCACTAAAGTTGTCTCGGCTCGGGAACTTGGGTACGAAAGGGGAAGGTCATGCAATGAGCACCCCCGCTCGCCCGATCAAAAAGATCGGCCTTTACCAAGCATGATATTTTGTTTTTGAAAACACGTGTTCTTATTTCGGTTTATTAGCCTAGAATTACTATGTGATGCGTACAACACACAAGTATAGACTAGATCGCCTAAGTTGGAACAAAACATCTCATGTTTGTTTGTTTGAAAATGATTTGAAGGTGCTACTCGCAAGTAGGCTAAGACGTGGATTTGCTGCCCTCGAGTGAGCTTAGAAAACATGATTTTGCCACTCTCAAGTGGGCTTAAAACTCGCATTTCGATGAATTGTTCCAATTCAAGTAATCCAACCTTCACCCACAGGCATTCATGCAGTTAAACATTTAAGCACATAGCCTCATGGCAAGCATGCTATCATGGCAGTACTAACACACATGCAGTATGCTAAAGCGTAAAAGCTTACCTAGTACTCTGAGCCAAAACAACAACTAGTTAGAAATCAATGCATGATCCTAGTTTATGTTAAGATGACTAATGCGACACATGCAAAAATGCAACTACAATAGGCTCGGCTATTCTAAGATGGCATGTGAAATGCAACTTGATAATCATGTATTCAAGTAGGAAACTAACCATCATAAGCGGATAAGTAAAAGGGAGAAAGACGTGGGATTGGAAGACATTCACACACTCACGCACACTTACTACAAAATTCGTCCTCTCGACGGAGGGTCCGAATGAATTTAGCTAACTAGCTACGCTAATTAAACTAATTATTACAAACCAACTAATTAACTATGCTAAGCTAATTAATTATTACAAAACTTTAACTAATTAACAAATGAATTAATTAAATTACAGATTCATGCTAAGTATTAAAATATGTAAACTAGGCTGCCTCAGCTCTGCCTTGAAGGGGTTAAAGATGCATGCTCGATTCTCATCTCGAAAGCTCTCCAAATGCTCTTTAGAGGCTCTGTTTGCAGGGTGTCCTTGAGGACTAACTGTTGGATCTTACCAAAACAGTACTGAGGAGTGCACCAGTGGCTGATAGGCCATGAGTAACTTCTGCCGACCCCCCTGCCGGCCACAAATGAAGAGCTGCCGGCCAACAACAAGAGGGTGCTAGCCACTGGTGTGCTGTGACACCAAGCTGCAGCAGAGCACAAAATAGAGAAAATTGAGGGTCTCCCAAGGATATGTACGCACTATGCCACTCCATATCACCTCAAAACATCAAGGGAGAGGCATAATCGGATCCAAGACCATTAATCACGCATCTCGATGCATGATGGCCAAAGATCTAACATGTGCAAATTTCGATAAATGCATGACAAATAAGACACCAAGACCATCTCCTTATCATGAGGAATCAAAGGAAATGGAGACCAAGGGAGATTGGCTCATTTCATCACTTCAAGTATGAAATGAACCAATCTTTCTCGCGTTCAACACGACGTCCGATTGAACGCGATGCAAAACATGCAAACAACATGACATGCAAACAACATGCTAATCATAGCATGAAATGCACTACTCTAACATGCAAGCCTTCATGCACAACATGCTAAGGGGCCAAGAACACCAAAGCTAGTGAAGAGGATGACACTATAAGCATACACTATAATGCTCAAACAACCAAACCAGCCCCAAACAGAGTTACACCATGCCCAAAACAGTGGCAAAACATGCTAAGATAGAAGCTCAAAGGACTATACAAACATGCATGCATATTAGCCCAAGCTTAAGGCACAAAACACAACTCTCCAAAGGCATTGAAAGAGTAAAACATGGAATATAGTGGCATGTATTCCAGCACTAAAATGGCATGCAAAATGACTTGGAATCATGCAAACAACCCATGTAATGCATGTTGAAAGGCTCAAGCATCAAAGCTAGTGAAGTGTATTACACTAGAGGCATGCAAGGCGATGCTTAAATGGCCAAGCCAACCCCAAACAAACCCTATGCAGGCCAAAACAGTAGCAAAAATGGACTGAGATGATGGCTTGAAAGGCAAGAAAATGAGGCTCATGCAATGGCTCACAAATAAGGCATAAAGGTATAACTCTCAAGAGCACTTAAAGAGTGAAAAACATGGAAGTGTAACTACACTATATGCTCTGAAATATCATTCCAAATGATGCCAAAACATGCAAATACTTCAAGTTAAGCATGCAAGATTCCTCAAAACTCAAGGCTAGTCAAAGCTTTTGCAATACAAGCATGCAAGACAAGCATCATTCAACTGAGAAACCTCAAAACGGAGCTAAAACATGCCAAAATATGAACAAAAGCATGCTGGAGTATAGCCAAAATGAGCTAGAATAATAGGCTAAAGAGACAAGCATGTTAGGCTAGCAAGGCAAAATTACACTATAAGTGTATGAGCCATTCAAGAGATAACCAAACCAGCTAAAAACAGAGTCATGCCAGACCTAAAAACTCACAAAAACAAGCTCACACCATGCCTCAAGAGTATAGAGATACATGCTCATTTGATAGGCCAATAATACAAGCAAACAAAACAAGAAGAGAGTGGATCATCCCCTCTGATTTGAGGCCTCAAAACCACATGTCTACCACTGAAAATTCACTAGATTTCAATGGCTAAGAGGCCAAATAAAGACTAACTCAAAGGCCTCAAGACATGGTTCAAAACAAGGCCAAACAAGGCACACAAGAGGGTAGAACACCCTCAACACCAAAGAGGCCTTAAACAACCATCAAAAGCACTTAAATACAAAATTTTTTTCAGTTGAAAGCAAGGCCTAAAACAATATGCAAGGATGACCAATATGGTATACAAACAAAAGCTTAAAAGGGGAATATACTCACCCTTGAAGCACAACTTCGAAACTAGCAATCTCTGGGGCCAAAAACCAACTTTCAAAGCTCAAATAACACTCCCAAAAACCTCAACTCAAAGATGATGGTGTATCACTATGTGTTGTAGTGCAAAAGTGAGAGGAAAATGCACTTTAAGGCACAAACAAACACAATATAGAGCGAGAGAATGAGAAATATATATAGAGAGAGATATACTTTCTCCAAAATTGCTGAACCTCTGTAAGGGAGGAGGAGCCTCTCCTTATATAGAGAAATGCAAAGCAAAGCTTGTTAAACAAGCTTGAAAAAGGCTTCATCCCTCCATACACGTGTATGGAGGAGGGATGAGTGAAAACTAGCTAGTTCAAAAGATCTGGCATGAAATCTGCTGTGATAAGATATTCTGCCGGCCATCAGTCGTGGCCGGCAGTGCCTCATTGATGGCTGGCAGGCTTCATCGATGACAAGCAGGGATAAATGCATGGCCGACAGTGACAGAGAGTGGCCGGCAGTGCACCATGAGAAGTATGCTGAAAGAACCAACATATGGTCCAAGAATGGGGCAAAAAGGATACAGGGTTTGGAAAGCTCAAACCTATGACATTCCTTCGCAAAAGTCGAGTACTCGACGAGCAATCGAACTTGTGGCTGGATGTACCTGCAAGCACAACCAAGTCTTGAGGACGGTAAAAAATGGAGTGTCTACAGTAGGTAGGCCTATTTTGGGAAAAACCTCCTGAATCTTGATGCATTTTTTTCTCCCAGAATGTCTTTCCTACACTCCACATTATACGTAAAATTTCCTTTCTTTTTTCCGTTGGGCTTGAAAATGGCCTTATGTAATGGGACAAAAAAAAAAACAAAAAGATAAATAATTTATGAGAATCAAATTTGAGATAAATTTTTATATAACAATTTTTTTTTTTATTTAGAATGACTTGAAATATGAGATTCTTTAAACATTTCAAAAGGATATGGAATTTTTTAAATATTTCAAAAGAAGTACAAGAACTCCTTACTAAGTTTTGAATAAATGTATAATTTCAATCTGTAACACTCCAATATAACACTCAAACATAACACTCTTAAAAAACTCCTTATTATACTTTTTTCAAACGTAACACTTCAAAAAAAAATTATTATATTGTGTAACACTTCAATGTAAAACATAAAATAAAAAAAAAAATTAGTGTATATTTCCAAACAAAATATTCCAATATAACACACCCAAAAAAGGGATTTGGAATTCTTCAAACCATTTCAAAAGGGTATGAGATTTTTCAAATCATTCTAAAAGAAGGACAAAATTCCTTAGTAAACTGTGAGTGTTACGTTTAGAAACAGTACACTAAGTAGTTTTGTAGTATTTTTATGTATGTTGCATTAGAGTGTTACGTTTGAGATTACATTGATTAGAGTATTATGTTTGAGAAAAGTACATGAAGGGATTTTTTTTGTGTTACATTGGAGTCTTATGTTTGGAAAAAATTTGAAGTGTTACGCTGTTACGTTTGGAAAAAGTACACTAATGAATTTTTTAGTGTGTTACATTGGAACATTACGTTATTAGAGTGTTACGTTCTTATTCATAACGTAGGATTTGTTCCAAAATAAGAGAAAATAAAAAATCTTTGTAGTGTGGATTGCCCAAATATGTAATTTCATATTTGGATAAACTCATTTTTATTCCTCAAAAATTAAATCCATGTGTAAGTAACTATTCTTTTGTGTAATTTTCACTGACTTTTGGATTCATAAAAAAATAAATGAGAACTAAACATTTCACAAGATCACATTTTGAGATTTATGATACTTCACTTTCGTTTTTTTTTTTTTTTTTTTTTAAATAGCAAAATATATATATATATATATATATTATGTTTTTAACAAAAACCAAACATTGGCCTGAAAAAAAATAGTAAAAGAACAGTCGCAAAGTATCCTCAACTTCAAGAAAACTTCAAGAAAGAGAAAATCAATTAGTTGCCTCAGGTTTGTAGATATGCACGTATCTATCTGCTTATTTACACGCCTTTTCATTGAAGCAGGCCATGTGTTTGTTGAAATGCCCAGCAGGGAAGAAAAAAAAAAAAAGAGAGCTTTTATTTATCTTTTTGTGCTTTGTTTGGATCTTGGATTTGAATTTGTCAAGGAATTTGTGGAGATAAATGAAAGGGAAGAGAAAGTGGGGAAAAAAAAAAAAAAAACTTATACTTCATTAACAATTCAAGATCCAAACACAAGAAAAAAAGTTTGATGTAGAGGAATTGAGGTCCTAAATCTCATTGGTTATGCAGTGATACTTCCTTAGCTGCAAGAAAGAGCTATAACGGAAATGGGTTGGTCATCCTCTTGTTGCTGCAATCTTTTCCCCACAAGCTCTCATATTCTTGGGGCTAGGGACTTGTCCAAGCTGTTGAAGAACCCCAAGCTTCCTCTTCGGGTATGTTTCCATGCTGCTGCGATCATTTCTTGTTGAGAAAATTAATGGGTCTTGTTAGTCTGTGTCTTTTCTTCATATGCAATCAAGTGATAGCTTTTAAAAATATGGTGATTTGAGTACCATGGGTTCTTTGATGTGAGTGTTTGAAAAATTCGGTTCTAGGAAGTCACACTTTCAACGTTTGGTTGTGTTTGTTCATCATTAATCTTGTTAGTGTGCACTTCTTTCCATGTGTGTTTGTGCACCCTGTTTACTTCAATTTGTGTGGTAGTTCATCTCTCCAAATGCGAGAGGGGGTTGCAAATGGAGAGAGAAACATTGAGCTCAAGCTTTTGGAGTAACTGGTCATATTGTATGATGGTTTTCCACTGCCACTATTTGTGGTTATCTTGGGAGGAGTCATTGTCACCAACGTGCAACATATCTGTTCTTCATAAATTTTATGTTAGGATATCGGATTTGTCATCCAATCATGTCTAAGAATTATCTTTCACTACAGAGTCAGCGGCAAAAGAGAGAACAGCATGGGACCCAAAAGACAACAAAAGTTCTTGCCTACCATGGCCTGCAAAAACCACCTTATAAACTTGTAAGTGAATTTTCATGTCCGTCAGTGTCTACACTTAGGTTTTGTTTGGGTCATGGATTTGGGGAGAGATATAGAAAAGGAAAGAGAAAAGGTAACTATATTTCATTGACATTTCACCTATCTTTTCCCTTTTCCTTTCCAAATTCCTCTCCAAATCCATGAACCAAACATAGCGTTAGGGTGTGTTTGGATCAAGGATTTGAGGGGGGATTTGGAAATGGAAATGGAAATGGAAAGGACAAGAGGAGATGGCAAAAGGGAACAAAATTTAGCTTGTATTTCATTCACTTTTGACTTCTCAAATCTTTGATCCAAACACAGCTTTAATGTTTACTGCAACACACATCACAGAGAGAGAGAGAGAGAGAGAAACTCAGTATCTACTGCAACAAAGTACATCAATATTTATTTTGTCAAAACAGGAACTTGTGAAGAACGTTTTCTATTTCTGATATATATTTTTTTTTTTCTGCAGAGGGTTGTAAGCCATGGCCTGATCAAAGTCGAAAGAAATCTTAAAACTCAATATTTTATCTTAAAAATTCCTTCAATATTAGTATTAAATTTTCGTCAAGCCTTGCTATATATATATAATTTTACTTTGTAGCTTATTTGTAATGGGAATGCCACTGCATTTATGTTCCCCAATGCCATTTGTGAAATCTGCTCATCCACCTTATATACAAAACAGGGTAAATCATGTTTCCTGAGGCACTATTTCTGTAAATTTGGTGAAACTAGGTTCAGACACTACACTAAGTGTTTGACCTAGGAAATCTTCTGTCATATTTCGCCTAGGCAGATGATCTTGAATCTAGTGTCCTATTGTGGCCTTATATTTTGTAGCATTACTTTATTTCTAAATGATGGAAAATAGAAAATAAAAAAATAGTACAGGAAAAAAAAAAAGAGATATCTGTTAAGGGTTGAAACATACAACGACCCTTGCTGTTGCCCATGAATTCTAATGAAACTCAAGCTGTCTTGATCTCATAGAGATGCTATTTTAATAATTGATGCAATAAGATAAATAAAATTGATATCTTTTCCCTTCCATTTCTCCTCCTTTTTTTTGGTTGGCAATTTTCTCCTTCTTCTTTGGCTGTTCTTTTAAATCTAAATTGGCTTGAAGAATGGATAAAGGGGTAAGTGGGATAATTTTAATAACAAACCTATTAATCCGGTCATTTTGGGTGCCAAGTTCCATGTTGGTCACCTTCCTGTAGCTCTTATATGGTTTTGAATGCAGCACTTCAACTCTACCTTCTGTTATAATCAAAAGGAGCTTCTCCATGATTCGGCAATTGCTTTAATGTTTGGCTCACCAGTTTTTGATTTTGTATTTGCAGGATGCACTAGAACCATATATGAGCCAAAGGACACTTGAGATGCACTGGGGAGAGCATCATCGTCTTTATGTGGAAGGTCTGAACAAACAACTTGAAAAGAATGACATACTGTATGGCCACACCATGGATGAACTTGTCAAAGTGACATATAACAATGGGAATCCATTACCAGAATTTAATAACGCTGCCCAGGTCCGTCTATATCAGTTATCTAAAATCTTGATCAAGTTATCTCTCATCATTTGCTTTGACTTGCTGTTACTATTTTGGGCATTTCATTGCACATCAATGAGTTAACTGAAATAGTACTTGCTTGCATGTCTACCTGTTGCTTCAAAATATGAAAATGTTGCTTATTTCAATATCTAGGGTAAATGGTAGTCTTCATACCTAATCAAGTTGCAGTAGCGTAGTGGAATTAGAGATTGATCTGTAGAGAGAAATAGATTTGCATTGACACACGTATTGCAGAAGAATGACTTCTAGGATCAAATTTTAAAAACAAATCATTTCCATTTGTTATCTTGCATCTCGTAATCGGATTGCCTATTTTAGGTTGCAGTGTACATTGCTAGTTCGTAGATTTTTCTGTCTTGTCCAATTAAATATGATGTGGTTTCAACTTTCAAAGCTACAAACTTGATGGTAGATACAACCTGAATATGAGATGGTGTTTTGTAGCTTGTCTTTTTAAGAAAAAGTAAATATGAGGTAGTTTCTTCATCTTCTTTTTCCAAGTATATTATATCTCGATAAATCATAAGAACAATTAGATTCTGCTTTCTTTCTTTTAGTGGGTATATAAATCCATGGAAGGTTTCTCAATAGTCTGAACCTAATTGACAACATGCTAGTCAATTGAACTCATTCACTTGCTTTTCCAGGTTTGGAATCATGACTTCTTTTGGGAATCGATGCAACCAGGAGGTGGTAACATGCCCATAATGGGTCTTCTTCAGCAGATTGAAAAGGATTTTGCTTCTTTTAATAACTTCAAAGAGAAGTTCATAGAAGCAGCCCTCACATTATTTGGCTCTGGCTGGGTTTGGCTTGTATGTAAGTCCTGTCTCAAGCAACTTTTCTTCCTGGTAGGAGTGATATTAGGCAGTGCTTTTGATTATTGAATCAGCTTATGTCATCTTAAAACTAAGAGAAATTTATCTTTCTGGGTATCAAAGTCAATTGTGAGATTACAATTTGGCTAATTTATTACCTATGTTTCCCCTTTGATGACGAAAGTGTATTTCATTGTTTCCATTTTTAGTGAAGAGAAGTGAGAAACGACTTGAAGTGGTTAGAACATCAAATGCCGTCAGCCCTCTTGTGTGGGATGACATTGTAAGCCATTTTCAATACAGCTACATTGATTTGCTCTGCTTTATTTATTTATTTATTGTAATATTTTGCATTAATAATCTATTGTGTATCTTGACAATTGCATTTATCAAATCTTTTGCAGCCCATTATCAGTTTGGATATGTGGGAAGTAAGTTCATGCTCTCTCTCTCTCTCTCTCTCTCAGTGATGTCTCTGTAAAATATATGTTGCTGATGAAGCCTCTTATGCCATTTTGCAGCATGCTTATTATTTGGATTATAAGGTATGTTACTCGTCCCGCCACTTTTTCCTTCTCCCATGATATCTTCTCTGATATGATATCTTTAAACTTTTTTCAAACAGAACGACAAAGGTAGGTACGTTAATGTCTTCATGAACCACCTTGTGTCTTGGAATGCGGCAATGGGACGCATGGCTCGTGCACAGGCATTTGTGAATTTAGGCGAACCCAAAATTCCTATTGCTTGAAATGCTTCTCTCTCTCTCTCTCTCTCTCTACACAAGCATGAGGTGTCTCAAATCTGAACACTCATAAAATTCACGTCTTTCGCAAGTCATACGTGACCTTATCAGTATAAGTGTTTGAGTATGAAACAAAGAAGCTCCCATGCATAGCCTGGCAACCAATCTCCAACTACCTTAAATGCCCCACTAAAGCTGCTGTAGTATTTGTAGCAAAAATCAGAGAATCCTTGTTATACATGTTTTGAGGCTTATTCATGTTAGATTTGTCGTTTAAACTATGTACTCGCACATTTTCTAATTAATTTAATTTTTGTATGCTTTGGTGTCATGTGGATTGTATTTGTCTATTACAAATTTGGAGTGAGAAAAGTTATGTATGGCATGTAGACGAACAAATGATCACTTGTATTTTGTTGTTTTGTGATTGTTGGGTTTGTACTTTTTGTATGCTTGTGGTAATGTATTGTTAGGTTTTCTTAAATAATTGAATGTCGAGTATGATGCAAGTTTCATGATATTTGCAGATTAGATCTAATGTCTCTACCTTCCTTTTACATGCTTTTCCCAGAGGTTTGGAGAAAACTGCAATCAATAGGATTTCACTAAGTCAATTTCGACAGTGTTAGGAATATTAATTTCATATAATTCAATTCACTACATAGCACAAAGCATAATAAATACAAGAGGAAATAATTGAATTTCTCAAATTGAGTTAATCTAGTGCAGCCGTGACATTCATAAACATCCAAATTCATATAGGGTTTCACCATAACATCCTGATTAGCTTTTCACCATAATATACCATAGCAATAACATAGAGGGAGATAGAGAAGAAAGTTAACCTTTCTAGGTTGGAGATTGAGGTCACTCCTATATGGAAACATTCAAAAAATTGAATAAGATTTTAAAGTTTGGAAAAAAATATATATATTGAGTCTTACACGTTCAACGTATTTACATTAAACTCTCTTAAAATTTTAATTCACCTGATATTTATCCCATTGTTGTAAGTAATCTGTTAGTTGAATGATTGGGAAAAAATGATGTGATTATCTCTTTTACACTGAAATGCATATTTAACTCTTGTTTATTTTTATTTTATACATTGCTTGCATTAATTCTAATCATTTTAAGCTTATTAAAAAAGAGTTTAGTAAAATTATGTCAAACTTATAAAATTTATTATATATTTTTTAAATCTCAAGAATGGTCTATATAATTTATCCTAAATTTATTACCAAGTCTTATTCAAGAGAGAGAGAGAGAGAGAGAACATAATTCTTGTTAGTTTCTTGCATTTTTGGCTTTGGGCACTAGGTGCCCTTGAAAGCACCAATGCTGCTATACATGTTGTCATCCAATACAAAATCCTACCCACAAGATCCAAACAATCAAACTTTTGCATGCTTCAATTGAATTGTTTAAAAATCTCAACAAATTTTTTTGAACAGAAAATCTTAACAATTGAGTAGCCCTAATTCAACCAAAATTAATAAATACTAAAAAATTTAAGTTAGGATTGAACTTCCTAATTAATCATGAATGTATAGTATCATCTTTCCATAGTAAGAACAACTAAGTCATTTGAATAAAAGTTATTATATGTCTCACTTTAGTTAAGAATTGAGAGGGTAATTTGTGTAGTCAAATTGGGTCGAGTTAGGTTGAAGTGGCGGTCAAAGATATTTGACCGAACTAGTAAATGCCCATATTTTTTGGCCTAGCTACAAGGCCGAGCTACGAGGCCCAGTTACGAAGCCTAGCTATGGGACCTAGCTACGGGACCTAGCTATGGGATTTAGCTATGAGACCTAGTTACGGGACCTAGCTACAGGACTTAGCTACGAGACTCAGCTACGGGACCGAGCTATAAGACCTAGCTACGAGGCCTAGCTATGGGACCTAGCCACGGGACTTAGCTACAGGACCTGGCTACTTCCTAATAGTGGTCAATGCTATGGTCGAGCTGCCAAGCAAGGTAGTCAAACAAAGAGGAGAGTCGAGCTAGGAGAAGTGCCGAGCTAGGAGGAGAGCTATGCAATGTTAGCTTTCACGGTGCTACACGTTGCACAGCTAAGCCGTTGGCAGACAGAACAAAGGTAGTCTGGTTGGACGACAGAAAGCCAAGCAAAGACTTGTGCCATCTCACTTGGCTTGTAGTGAGGAGGGTGTTCTAAGGATAAGCATTATCCTTAGGTATGAGACTCTTGGGAGGTCTCTGCTAATGAGAGTTAGAGTTCTGCTAGGACTATGCCACGTGGAATCTATAATAGCTTATGACAGAACCTATGGACAGGTATTGCAATTCTTACTCTCAAATACACATAGCTTTTGTGTCTATTGTCTATTTTGCTAACTTAGGCATTAGAGAGGTTACCGGCACACACCCGCCGACAAGCTCACGTTTGAGTTTTCAGGTAGTAAAGCAACGACGTTTGGAGGAGTGCAAACTTGATCAACAGGATTATACAAGAAAATTATTCCGTGCTCGTACAATTGGTGCCGTCGGTGGAAAGTATCACAGAGCAAACCTTTTGATTGAGTTTTACTTCAACTAAGTTCAATGGCACACAATGAAGACTTGCCTCATTCTACTATTGATGGACAAACTCCAGAGGGGAACAGAAGGCGCGAGGATTTGCCTTTTGTCCAACCCCTAGCAGAATTGGATCCCCAGTGACGGAACCCACGGAGAGGGGTGCGAGAAAAATGGGGCTTAAGTCTTGTTGCTTTCAAAGCCTAGATGGATAGAGACAGAGGATGGATTCTCAAGTTCTGAAGGATAGTGTGAAGGAGCAAGACGAGTTGATAAAGAGAATGGCGGCTGACATGGAGATCATAAAGCGCCAAATGAAAGGCAAATGGGTGTCATGTGAAGAGATCCGTGAAGGCAGAACGCGTTCTCGCCACTCAAGAGATCTCGATAGGCAAGTCATACCATCGCAATCTGAAAGTAGCAGGCTCAGAATAGGCGACACACAATCAAGAACCTCCAGGACTCATTACTCCAAGTCTGAGAGAACGAGGACCGAAAGGTCTTACACGAAGGGAAGCAATTATCGACCCTCCCATACACATCAAACCATTTCTCAGCACACCGCGTTGCCTAGGTCAGTAGAAGAAGCCCAGGCATGCGACCCCCAAAAGGTCTCTGCTCTACATCGGCTGGCTTCGTGGACACATAGAATTGTTAAGGTTGGAATGCCTATGTCGTACCTTGCTTACGAACCAGCAGACAAAGCGCTAGCAAAATTACAAAGCTCGTCGTTCGTTCCAACGATAGAGAATGTGCCATTACCTTTGGGCTTCAACCAGCCTAAGTTCATAACCTATGAGGGGAAGTCAAACCCTAACATGCACTTGAGCCACTTTCGCTAAGTTATGGCCATACATCGGCGAAACGAAGCTCTAATGTGCATCTTGTTTCCGTCAAGCTTGGGCGACCTGGGCTTAACTTGGTTTGAAAAGTTGCCAGAAGGTAGCATCACTTCATGGGCACAACTTGTAGAGACGTTTATCACCAGGTTTAAGATGAACACCAAGACGCCAGTCGAGGTATTGGGAGACCTTCAACCAGATAGACGACAGTCCTACTAACCTAGCTATTGCACAGTATAAGCAGGGCCTGCTAGTGGGTCATAAGTTAAAAGATTCAATGACAATGACGCCGCCTCCTTACTATGGAAGCCCTTATGGAGAGAATGCACCAACACATCCGAGTAGAGGAAGATGGAGCACACGCCAAGGCAGAGTTCGGCATAACAGCGATGCCGGACAAAAAGCCTTCGGCGAAAGTTAACACTGTCGACAAGAAGGACCGACCGAGAAAAAATCTTTGCCCAACTGGAGGCAAAGTGGGTTGGGAGATTTGACCAACTCTTTCTAACAAATCTTTGCCCAACAGGGGACAAAGAGGGTTAGCAGATTTGACCAACTCTTTCTAAACAAACCTTTGTCCAACTGGGGGCAATGAAGGTTGGCAGGTCTGACCAACACATTTTTGCACTCTTCAGCCGAGATGAGTATCTAGGCTAAAGAAAGTTGGCAAGTTTGATCAACAAAATTTATTTTTGCACTCTTTAGTCGAGATGAGTATCTAGGCTAAAGAAAGTTGGCAGGTTTGACCAACAAAATTTTTGCACTCTTTGGTCGAGATGAGTATCTAGGCTAAAGAAGGTTGGTATGTTTGACCAACAAAATTTTTACACTCCTTACCTAACTAGGGGACAATGAAGGTTGGCAGGTTTGACCAACGCATTTTTGCACTCTTTAGCCGAGATGAGTATCTAGGCTAAAGAAGGTTGGCAGGTTTGACCAACAAATTTTTTTGCACTCTTTGGCCAAGATGAGCATCTGGGCTAAAGAAGGTTGGTAGGTTTGACCAACAAAATTTTTGCACTCTTTGCCTAACTAGGGGGCAATGAAGGTTGGCAGGTTTGACCAACGCATTTTTGCACTCTTTAGCCGATATGAGTATCTAGGCTAAAGAAGGTTGGTAGGTTTGACCAACAAATTTTTGCACTATTTGCCTAAGTGGGGGGCAATGAAGGTTGGCAGGTGTGACCAACACATTTTTGTATTTTGTAGCTGAGATAAGTATTTAGGCTAAAGAAGGTTGGCAGGTTTGACCAACAAAATTTATTTTTGCATTGTTTGCCCAACTAGGGGGCAATGAAGGTTGGTAGGTTTGACCAACACATTTTTGCACTCTTTAGCCGAAATGAGTATCTAGGCTAAAGAAGGTTGGCAGGTTTGACCAACAAAATTTTTGCACTCTTTAGCCAAGATGAGTATCTAGGCTCAAGAAAGTTGGCAAATTTGACCAACAAAATTTTTGTAATCTTTGCCTAACTAAGGGGCAATGAAGATTGGTAGGTTTGACCAACACATTTTTGCACTCTTTAGCCGAGATGAGTATCTAGGCTAAAGAAGGTTGGCAGGTTTGACCAACAAATTTTTTTACATTCTTTAGCCGAGATGAGTATCTAGGCTAAAGAAGGTTGGTAGGTTTGAACAACAAAGTTTATTTTTGCACTATTTAGCCGAGATGAGTATCTAGGCTAAAGAAGGTTGGTAGGTTTGACCAATAAAATTTTTTACACTCTTTGGCCGAGATGAGTATCTAGGCTAAAGAAGGTTGACAAGTTTGACCAACAAAATTTTTGCACTCCTTGCCTAACTGGGGGCAGGCAATAATTGAACAATTAGCATATCTTCGTTTTTTATTTTTATAAAAAGATGTTGTATCAATTTTTCCTCTAGAAAAACCTTTGTCAAGTAGAAAATTACTCAATCTTTCATACGAAGCTCTAGGAGCTTGTTTTAAGCCGTATAAGACTTTTGAAAGTTTGAAAGCATGATCCGAGTATTTATGATTTTCAAAATCGGGAGGTTATTTAACATAAACTTCCTCTAAAATGTACCCATTTAAAAAAGCACTTTTAACATCCATTTGATATAATTTAAAATCTTTAAAACATG